GGCTGTGGTTTGCCGCACGGAAGCGGGTGCAGACAGGAAGGATGCGTCAGGGACGGGGAGATTTGGTGCCGCTGGCTGGCGGTTGACATGTGGCCCTTGTGGCACCGCTGTCCCCGTGCCACATCTGTGCCACATCATGCCAGCCAAGGGTGGCTTTAAGAGGGGACCCTGACTGTGCTGTGAGCGCTTTTTGGGGTCCCAAGCTGTGCCCTGGGTGCCCCTAGGATGGCACTGTCCCCATGTCCCCTCCCTGTGTCCCCAGAGCTCCATGAACCTGCCCCCGGACAAAGCCCGGCTCCTGCGCCAGTACGACAACGAGAAGAAATGGGACCTCATCTGTGACCAGGTGGGGGCTGGGTGGTCCCCGTGAGGGTCCTGGGGGTGACAGTGTCGCTGTCCCAATGTCACCAACACCCTTCTGTCCCCTCCCCAGGAGCGGTTCCAGGTGAAGAGCCCGCCCCATGCCTACATCCAGAAGCTGCGCAGCTTCCTGGAGCCGGGTGTGACGCGGAAGGTGAGGGGTTTGGGGGGTCTGGGGGAGCCCGAGGGGGTTTGGGGAGGCTGGGGGAGCCCGAGGGGGTTTGGGGGATCTGGGGGAGCACGGCTCAGCCTCGCTGTGCCCCCAGAAATTCAGGAGGAGGGTGCAGGAATCCACCAAAGTGCTGCGGGAGTTGGAGATCAGCCTGAGGACGAACCACATCGGGTGAGAGTGGGGTCATGGGAGGGGGTGTGGGGTCCTGGGGAGGGGTTGTGGACTCTGGGTTAGGGCTGCAGGTCCGTGGAATGGGGTTCGGAGTCCCGGATGGGTTGTGGGGTCCTGGGGAGGGGGCTGTGGGGTCCCAGAAAGGGGTATGAGGTCCCGGGGAGGGGCTGTGGGATCCTGGGAAGGGTTGTGGGGTCCTGGGGAGGGGGTTTGGGGTCCCAGGAAGGGGTTGTGGGGTCCCAGAGATGGGTTGTGGGGTCCCGGGGAGGGGCTGTGGGATCCTGGGAAGGGGTGTGGGGTCCTGGGGAGGGGGTTTGGGGTCCCAGGAAGGGGTTGTGGGGTCCCAGAGATGGGTTGTGGGGTCCCGGGGAGGGGCTGTGGGATCCTGGGAAGGGGTGTGGGGTCCTGGGGAGGGGGTTTGGGGTCCCAGGAAGGGGTTGTGGGGTTCTGGGGAGGGGGTATGGGGTCCTGGGGAGGGGTTGTGGGGTCCCAGGAAGGGGTATGGGGTCCTGGGGAGGGGTTGTGGGGTCCCAGGAAGGGGTTGTGGGGTCCTGGGGAGGGGGTATGGGGTCCTGGGGAAGGGTTGTGGGATCCCAGGGATGGGTTACGGAGTTCAGACCAGGACTGCAGGTCTATGGAATGGGGTGCAGAGTCTCGGATGGGTCCCGGGAAGTGTTTTGGGGTCCCCGGGATGGCTTATGGAGTCCAAGCCAGGGCTGTAGGGCCGTGSARTGRGGTTCAGARTCCCGGATGGGTTGTGGGGTCCCGCGGGGAGGCTGTAGGGTCCTGCCACCAKCCCCGCACAGCTGCAGGGGAAGCCGGAGGCGCTGCAGGAACTGGGCCGGTTCCTGCCCCGGCCCGCGGGCAGCTCCCGGGGGCGGATGCCGGGGCGGATGGACCGGCGGTGACGCCCTGAACGGGGCAGGCGGCGTGGCCAGATCCCGGCCGGCTCCTCCCGACACACCGGAGGGCTCGGTCGGCACCGTYCCGGAGCCGGTGACACCCGGACCCGCACCGGGATATGCCCCGGAGCTCCGCGGGGCGTCGGGCGGGGACGGGGAGCGTCCCCGGCGGGTTTTGGGGACATTAGCGGTGGCATGCCCGGGATGGCTCTCGGTGATGCCCGGGGTCGACTCGGTGGTGCCCGGGATGGCTCGGTGGTGCCCGGGGACCCCTCGGTGTCAACCAGGACCCCTCGGTGGTGCCCGGGATGGCTCTCGGTGGTGCCCGGGATGGCTCTCGGTGGTGCCCGGGGCTGCTCGATGTCACCCGGGTTGGCTCGGTGTCACCCAGGACGGCTCGGTGATGCCCCGGGGGCGGCTCGGTGGTGCCCGGGACGGCTCGGTGGTGCCCGGGGATGGTTCGGTGTCACCCGGGACGGCTCGGTGGTGCCCGGGGGCGGCTCGGTGGTGCCCGGGAGGGCTCTCGGTGCTGCCCCCGGACAGCTCGGTGTCACCCGGGACGGCTCGGTGGTGCCCGGGACGGTTCAGTGATGCCCAGGACGGCTCTCAGAGTCACCCGGGATGGCTCTCGGTGGTGCCCGTGGGCAGCTCGGTGATGCCC